TTATTTCTAGTTCCTTTTCCTAATTTTTAAAGTCTGAGCACATGTCAGATAACAAACAGATCTTGAGACAGATTAGTATTGGTTGCTAGACAGCTCACTTTCTAGGCTTTCCAGAGGGAAATAGTAATGCAATTAATTAACAGTGCCTGCTACGGCCGTTGGAAAAGGGGCAGCAACCTGCGAAACAGGCACCTCTCTGGGCATCTCCTTCTCTGAGTTTCAGTCACATAACCTGCAAAACAAGGCAAATTCACCTACCTGAATGAAGGTCGGACCCTGGCCAAGATGGTCTTCTGATGTCCTCTGAGTGGATCAAAGCTTTGCTCCTAGTGGCATATACTCCAGATGATCTTAGGCACATCATATATTCATGAAACTCTGTATGTGTGGAATGAGCTTGACTAAAGAAACCCAATAGATTGGATAATTGAAAAATGCTTCAGCAGAGGGCAGAGCTGGAAGCCTTTGACAGGACAGATAAATCATTTAGCACTTTGAGGTGCTGATCATCTCTGTCCTTCCAATCATCTGTGAGCTGAATGTGCCCTCTCTGAATTTTAGGGCTGGGCTTCATTGCCTGGGGCAATATGTTGGGGAGGTATGGTTATCAGATAAACATATGCTATTGTTTTGCTGGCAGTCTGGGGAACACAAACAATAAATTTTTCTTAAAATATACTAGATACATTAATCAGGATCTCAGCAGGAAAATGATGGTGAATTCAAGGAGATTTTAATTAAGATTCTGTTTCCAGGGGTCAGGGTGAAAGGGACCAAGCAAGAGTAGCGAGATGATACTCAGGGGCAAACAGCAGTGGGGGCCACTTCCTTCCACTCCTGAAGCACAGCAGGAAGGAAAGGTTTGTATGTGGATGCTGTTGTCAAACAAGAGAACTGCTCGGCTGAGCCATGGCTGTGGGAACACAGCTGATGTCTAGAACACGGCTGGACAGAGGAGCTTTCTGCCATCCTGCCAGACACCTTGGGCTATACAGGCAGGTAGGCAGGGAAGGGTAAAACTATTAGAGATGTCTGTTGCAGCAGGCAGGGAAGGATCACTGGGGTACAGGTACCATATTTATCATGTTTTAGTGGCTCAAAGTCCCATCTTTAGAATTTAGACTTACTTTCTTCAACCTAGAATCTTTGGAAAAACACTTTTCTTCTTTTTCTGTAGGCGATAACTTAATATTTCCCTTTAGTTTTAAGAAAAGTTTCTTGCGAGCATGTGTGCATGTGTACTTTTTCTCCTTTGAGGTTAAAAAAAGACAAAAAAAAAAAAAACAGGGCAGCAGCTTGGATCTAGCTGGTGGCCACTGTATCAGGTAGTGCCTGATTTCTTCAACACTAAAGATAGTTGTTTTGAGCACTCTAGGTCTGCACAACCCTAGATAGTCAGGATTCAAAAGCCGTCTTTAACTAGAGTCCTCTCCTTGATGACAAATGATGTTGACTGAGCTTGCTCAGTTTTTTTCTTGTATAATTAGCAAAACAGAAATGGTGGTGGTGATGAGGAGGAGGAGAAGGAGGAAAAGGATCTACCTTCATTTACTATATAACATGTGCCAGTGTTTTAAAGGTTTTAAATGTATACCATATCATTTGATTACTGTGACAATCCTGAGGAGAACAGTGTTATTATTTCCATTTTAACAATGCAGAAACACGTTGAGAGAAATTGTAACCACACAACTATTAGGTGATGAAATTGCCACTATCCAGTCATTTTTCATGAAAATGTCAATTTTCTATGATTCAACTTCATAGTGTATTGCATGCAGAACAAGGTTTAAAATCAAGACTAAGTTCACTGTGCCTAAGTATTTGTGAGTAACCAACATAAAACTATAAAACTACTTCACAAAGCAACGGAAATATTAAATAAAAGAACACTGCTCTGTGCCTCGCTCTTTTGGGTTAACTGCATTCTATCTGCCATTCTAATCCCTGGGGAGGCAGTGCATGGCTGTCTGAGCAGATACGGCCACTGAGATTGAAAAAAGACCTGTTGTTGTTTACTAGATCCTATCCCAGGGATCTGGAAAATTCCATCTTTGTCATCAGACCATGATAAACCTCTCTTAGCAACCCCCCTCCCCGCCCAGCCCCTTAAGCATCCCCACTCTTGTTTCACAGGAAGTATCTTCTGCTGTGCAGGTCTGGGACTTTCATTTTCTTTGGCCCTGAGCAAAGGAGAGGGCAATGAACATTGGGTCCTTCTATCCCTGTATCCCTTAATAGCCCAGGAATTGCACTTCATCAGCAAACTCCTCCCTGGAGTTGCAGGAGCAGTGGACCGAAGGGTGGCTGTCCTGTGGTGTGTGTCAGGTGCTTATACATGATGACTCAGTTTGCATGATTACTTCTGGCAAGGAGGCTGATTAAAAATTCCTCCTCCTTTTAGTTGGCAAGAAGGAAGAGAAGACTCCTTTCGATGAAGGGTCTGCTGTTTGGGTAGGGTTTTAGGGCTTGGGGGTGATTTTCACTCATGCGCAGAAAACGCCTCTAAAAGACAATAGTACTGAATTGTCAGATATAGCAAAGGAAAATGTCAGATTCCTAGTTAAATTTGAATTTCAGATAGAAGTATATACTAAGCAATATTTAGGACATATGTCTATTAAAATTATTTATTGCTTATGTAAAATATGAATTTGCTTCATGCTCCAGTTTGAACAGGTCCCCCTCATAAATCAGATATGTTGTCAATGTGGCAGAATTAAGAGGTAGGTCATTTAAAGACTCATTAGGGCAGGAAGCCCCTCCTTCAAGAGGGGAATCAAGGCCCTTATAAAGACACTTCACAGAAGTGTTCAGTGAGCTTGCCTTTTGCCACATTAGGCCAGTCTTCTCTGGAAGATGGCAGCAATACAGCACTATCTTGGCAGCAGAGAGCAGTTTAAGTTTGTAAGCCAGCCTGGCTGTGTCTTGATTTGGACTTTCAGTCTCCAGAATTGAGAAATAAGCTTATCTTTATACATTACTCAGTCTGCAACATTCTGTTAGCCCCACAAAACAGAGTAAGATGCTGCTCTAGTTTGCTTTCTGTTGCTGTGATAAACACCGTGACCAAAAGCAACTTGTAGAGGAAGGGGTGTATTTCGTCTTACTCTTCCAGGTCATATTCATCAATGAGGAAAGTCACCTAGCACCTCAAGGAGGGGCATTAAGCAGAAGCCAGCACGGAGCGCTGCTTGCTGACTCACTCTCTTGCTTACTTCTGGTTCATACTTAGCTAGCTTTCTTATACAGCCAGGCCCACTTGCCTAGGGATGGTACCACCCACATCAATCATCAATCAAGACAATCTCTCACAAACATGGCCACAGACCAGTGTGGTCTGAGATATTCCTCAACTGAAGTTCCCTTTACCCAGGGGACTCGAGGTTTTTTCAAGTTGATAATACAAAGTAATCAGCCCAACATCTTGTCTCCTAGATTTTATTTAATAACCTTACAACAGTGTACATTTGCCCACCCATTAGACACCATGTCGTTTACAAAGACCATTTGGGATTAAGGGGAAAGGAGGCCTTGAGGGTAAGATGAACCTGGGCCTAAAGCCCAGTCTCACTATTTAGTAGTTGGATGACTGTAGCTGGATCACTTAATCTCTCTAAGCCTCCATTTCTTCCTAAGTAAAAAGAAGAACACAGCATCTTGTTTAGGGGTATATTGTGGGTTAAATGAAGTCCTAAACTGCATATACAGTCCACAGTGTTTGCCACTATGAGTCATACAATGATTGCTCTTATTTATGGCCAGATGGAGGACCAACCATAGCCTAGGGGAATTTGACAGCATCACAAGCTCCAGTTACAGGAACAAATCTGTGTGCTTAGCTCAAATGAGCCTTTAATGTAAAGACTTCAATTTCTAATAGTCCTATAGACCCAGAAAGGAATTTTAAAAGTCTCAAGGAAAGAGCGCTGGTTTCTAATACACAGTCCAGAGGGGCCCTTTAATTCAGTGCTTGGTACACAGCAGTGGTTCAAAAGGTAGGCTTGCTCCCCCATGGTTTTCTGGAAAAGAGAAAGGAAGTCTGGGCTATAAGTAAGGACACTAGGGGCTCCTTTCAAGGGAGGGAGGAACTAACACACACAGGAATGTTTTGAAGGTCAAGATGGGGCTCCAAAAGTAGGTCTGGACAGAAGTTCCTCAACACTGTCATTAACATCAGGTGGTTTGGGAGGTCCTGTCCCGTGCATTGTAAGGACGCCTCTGACCTACTAGATGCATTGTAGTGACAATTAAAAAAAATCTCCAGACATTGTCAAATGTCCCCCAGGGAGCAAAATCACCTTTGGCTCTGACCCACTTGTAGAGTATTAGACAGTACTCATCAACACTTTCAACAGCTATCACTTTTGACCACTTACAAATCTTATGGTCAATCCCCACTCATACTGGAGGGCAGCTTGATTTACCTACATTTCACAGTTGGAGAAATTGAAGCTCAGAGGATTGAAATAAGTTTCCTCAGACCACCTGGCTGGTAGGGCTGGGATTCTGACTGAGAGGTTAGTCTGACTCCAAAGCTCAGAGAGTTCTTCCCGTAACACTCCATTCTCTGGAAAAGTAAGCCTCCTTCCCTCCCCTCCCTCCCTCCCTCCTTCCCTCCCTCTCCCTCCCTCCCTCTCTCTGTGTCTTCCTCTCTCCCTCCCTCCAGTTTCAATTAGGGAAATTCTTCTCAAGTCAGTTCAAATCTAAAAATATGTATTGAGCTAGATGCCATGGGAAGCTGAGAGAGAAATACAAGATGCTCCTCCAATCAAGGCTTTTTTGGTGTCAGTGCCATACACAGACAATCCACAGTTAAAGAGTAATACAAGACATTCTGAACTTGGGCCCAAATGAGCATTTCCAGTGGTAGAACTTGTCGACTGAATACCATTTGCATTTGTCTGCCTTACATGTCGCTCTGCGGCCAACTGGGATAACAATTTTAAAAGAGAACAATGCAGCCTTGGAGTCCATGGGCTCTGCCACCTAATGAAGTATTAATTCTCTTGTTGTGTGGTGGGCTGTGTGATGCTTCCAGCTAAGCATTCAGCCATCTTCTTTCTGGCTCGCTGCATAAAGTTCACCTTTCCCCGCTCCCTGCGGATGGCGGTGTACTCGTAAGCTTTGAGCTTGCTGTAGTAATCGGAGAACTTGTTGTAGAGGATGGAAATGGGCATCCCATTGAGAATGATCCCAAAAGCGATGCAAAGAAAGGCAAAAAGCCTTCCCAGGTGGGTCTGTGGGTACATGTCTCCATAGCCCACAGTGGAGATGCTCACCTGTGAAGTGGGGAAAGTAGAATGGAAGTGTTAGGCCCAGGAAGGAAAAAGAAAGGAGAGAAGCAGGCAGGAAAGAGTCCTGTCACCCTGTAGGTGCAGAGCAGATATGTCACAGCTGCTCACAGAGCCAGCTTTGAAAGTCAGCCCACAGGTCTGTGTCACGGAAAGAATACAAGCTGAGGACTGGTTTAAGTCCTGACCATGATGTACAAATGTTCTTATATGCAACCCAGTGGAAATAGAATCTACTTTAAGGAGTTACTAGAAGGGGCATTTAAGAGAACACCTTGTATTCTTGTTGCAGAACATGTTCAGTTACTCAGGTCTTTGTCTTTCTACCTCCTCCAGCTGGGGCCAGTGTTGTAACAGGAATTCCCTGGATTTACTTTCATCACATATGTCTGAGAAAAAGCTTGAGTTTAGAAGCAATCAGAACAGGTCTTGAGTGGAGACTGACCCTTCTCAGCTAGCAAACCTTCAGACTCTGGAGATACCTCTCAGGTTCTTGTAAAGACTAATATATATATAAAATCACTCACCTAAACAAAAAAATAATATAAAGCACTCACCATGGTACCAGGCATCCACAAGGCATTAAACACTTCCACTGTTTTCCTCTCATCTTTAAAGGGGAGACAATCATGACGTTGCTCAGAGTTGTGTAGTTCATTTGGTTTCTTAATGAAGATACTTTAATTGCACATCCAGAGAAGCATACTCATTACTTTGTGAGGGGACTTTCAGAAGACCTCACAGACCAAAAATAGGTTCATCCCTCATGAAATTCTTTTCATCATTCTTGTCACACTGCTTTAAATTCTGCTAATTAGAGATTTATTTAGGTTAACAAGCTTCCGTTTTAAAATGCAGATTCCCATGGGACTAGTTATCATTTAGTGCAGCTAGAGGAAACCCTGCGGAAATCCCTGGGGACTGTCTTTAATGTCTCCTGTGCTTCCTCTGGTCCCCAGACTGGCAGCTAAGTCTCTGGGAGCCTCGGAAGCAGTGCTGTCACTTACAGTTGTACACCTTTCACGCTGCACAACTCCAGGGCACTCGTTGCTCCATGGATTTATGTGGGGGTTATCCCAATTTTCCAACAGAGGGCAGGAACCACACCAAGATAGCCTACATCAGATATGTAAACACTTTTCTTCTGATGATGTGAGTGCTAGTTTGAACTTTCAAATGTGGTTGATTGATTAGAATGAAATGGAGAAATGAGTCAGCTGGGCAAATTTGGTGATACCAGTAAGAACCACAGGCTCCTCCAGAAACTGGAAGAAGGTGTGCTCTACTTTGGGGCAACTCCAGAACTCATGGTTCCTTCACTGCCTTTTCCCACAGTGGAAGAGCACAGGCAAGCATGACAGAGGCAGGACGGTGTAGACAGGGTTAAGGAAATAAGGACCACACTCAACTTCCTGGGACTTAACTTCACAGTTACGGGAGTTGGGCAAAACATCTAAATTTTGGCTTCAGTTTTTTTTTTTTCCTTTTGATTTATGGAGAGAACAACAGTACCTTCCTTGCAGGGTTGTGAAGGTGTGCCTAGCCACAGACTGTGGGAGCAATGACGTTAGTGCACATGCCATATAGGGAGACCTGAGGAACCCTGTCTGAAAGTTGGTCCCAGCTGAGAGGAAGCAAAAATGAACACTTACTGAACACACTCTACACTGGGACCTTGACCACTGCTGTGTGCTGTGCTTATTGAACTCCCCAGCTACTAGAGACCTTGGCCAAATGCTGCGTGAGGGAGATTTGGGGGCGAGGTGACCATTGGCTTTGGTAGAGAATGTCCCCTTCCCACCTTCACCATGGAAAGGTGATGAGAGGCAAAGACCAAGCTACATTTGGGCTAATCTCAATGTCTGCATGTACACCTGTGTTTGCATATGTGTCTTGTCACTGGTACCAATATAAAAGAACTGAGTCAGACCTCTATCCAGGTGTGCGAGCTAATCATAGCTGTCATCTGTTGCTAACCCCACCACGCCTCAGGATGACCATTAAGTCAGCTCATTTTTAATGGTGGTTGCAAATGAGAGTTTGGTTACTGAGGCAAGTGACAGGAAAGGACAGTTTTAGAACATGAAACATCCCTAAAGTTGGAGGAGGGGCCTTGCAGTTAGCTAGACACTCAAGGGTCCTGTAGCAACAGAGGGGAGTATGGGAGGACACAGAGGAAAGAAACTAATCAGGGCAAAGTCCTGATATTAAGCTTCTGATGAATCCTGCACTGGCTTTATTTCACCCCGCACTGGCTTTGTTTCACCCTAACCCTACTATCTTTAGTACCCCCACCCCATCTTTTAGTGAAAAGTCAAAAGCAAAGATTTTTGGTTTAAACAAGAATATTTGATGTACATAATCTGGTCTAAATATTTTCCAGTGTCTTTGGTCTCTAATTTCAGGGAAAAGATCTCTTGCTAGGAGGCTGCATATGACTTGTCCCCAAGAACTTGTTCAAAATGAATAGCTAATTGTTTTATTGTCTGTTCATGGATAACTTAATATGTAGCCTTGTTCTTGCCCCTTGGATCTGGAGTAGGATTTAGAATTGCTTGGCTTAGGGAACTTTTCTGTATATTACAGGGGCCATAGCCCTTCTCCATAGACGGCACTAACACTGAAGGCCCCAGACTGACCCAAGTGACCCCACAGAGTGAGTTCTCATGATATCTGGAGCTGGGTTGAGTAATGTGACCAAAATATCTGCAATCCACCCTAAAAATCAAGCAAAACTGTCTGGCTTAATCATTCTACAACCTGAAACCTAACAATTCTGCTGAAACTCCACATTTTTTTCTGAGGTTTGGAGTTTCAAAAGCCAGACTGTTGACCTTCCCGTGGCAGTTCAATCACTGATCAGTGAGTCCTGACTAGCCAAGTAGGGCAAGCATCATCACATTTTCCTCTGAAACTTTAGAATGATTGCACTTGGACTTCTTACTCAACAAGGAATGTTTGTTTTCTTCATAAGGAATGAGGTACAGATACAAGTTTTGGTAACCAGTGGTCCATGCATCTAGGCAGTATAATTCTGGGGAATAAAACCAATTTTACAAAATAATTAACATATCTTTTGCTTTTCCCAAAGAAGTAGAGGTGATAAAGGGGTGACCTTAAGCCCCCACCAAATTATATTCATCAGTACATGTTGTCATTTTCTTTTTCTTTATTTTATTTTATGTGTATGAATGTTTCATCTGCATGTATGTAAGTGCACCCATGTTGTGCAATGTCTGTCGAGGCAGAAGAGGACATCAGATCCTGTGAAACTGGAGATATGGACAGTTACTAGCTGCCAGGTGCATGCTGGGAACTGAACCTGGGTCTTCTGCAAGAGCAGCCAGTGCTCTTAAACACTGAGTCATCTCTCCAGCCCCCACAGGAGTCATTTTCAAGGCTTATCCATGATACTCTTGGCAACAAATATATATCATAGATCAAATATATAATATATACTTATGCAAATATTCCTCCTTTGTATTATAATCTTGAGAAAAGATTCAATGGCAAGACCCTCATACAAGTGGTTGTACTTGTCTTAATAGTTAAATCTTGTGTTCAGTCTTAAACTCAAATGCCATTTGCCTATCTTAAAATACTCAGTGCAATCCCTCTGAAGCAATCCCTCAAAGTAGTTTGAGGTAGTATTAGAATGAGGTCACCACTTTGTGATCATGTATGTTACAGTACGTTATGCTTCCAACATGAGCATAAGGAGGAGGTTGGCCCAAGCTAAAGCAAAACCACAGATGCAGTCAGGCAGTCAGGGGTCTATCAATCCACCCACAAAAGGCACACGGAATGCCCTCTGCATCCTCAGCTTATTTGGTACTTCCGTGTCCCTGACACTTGATCATGTCCCACTGCAGTCATCTTGAACAATAACAAACACATGCTTTAAAAACATGAAAGGGGACCACTCCCAAATCAGGAGTCCTTAAGATCAAAGATCAAAGTGTCCTTGGGCTTTTGCCTCATTTATAGCTCCCGTGCTAGCTAATTCTGAAGGAGTAAGAACTTCAACACCTTGTGTGCCAGATGTAGTCTAACTCGGTCCCAAGCCTGACATCATTTGGTGCTCTTTTCTGTAATTCTGCAGCTGGGGCTCTATAGGATACATTTCCCAGTTTCCCTTATCAGTTGTCTTCATGGTACATTTTGCCAAGCAGAGGCAGGTTTGGGAGACTGGGAGTAGGAGGAAGGGTCTTTACTGTTGACTCTGGTTGGTTCCACCAACATCCTTTTGTGGTTCATAGAATCTACGACATTCCTGGTACTCCCAAGCACTAACTCATAGTGCCATCTTAGAACTCTCTGCAATGGCTACACCACAGCCATCCATACTCCTAAGCCTGGTAACACTAACTTCCATTTGTTCTCCCAATTCTAAGACTAAGAGCTACTCCCTCCTGGTGCCACTTTTCTCCTCTAGCCTCCCGATACCTACGCATTTGTTTCCCTGTAGCAAATGCCCACATCGGCTCCCATTTTCCCCACTGTAACCTAACTTACTTTACACAGGTGTCTTTTCTGAGCAATCGATTAAAATAAATTTCAGTGATCCTGTAAGGGCCAACTATTTGCAAGGAAACTGTAACATAATTTAGGATAACAAAGATAGGAGTTAGGTCTCTAGGGCACAATTATCTGGTGCCTCAGCTTGAGATAAATTTCCTTTTTGGAGAGTTTTGGAAGTAAGAAGTTCATGCCATACTTTCCTCTTTGATTTCTACAACTTTAACTTACTTTGGAATGCTCAGAAGGAAATGGTTTGTTGACAGTCCAACTGGCCTTTTCTATTTGAAAGCAAACCTATGCAGGAGGCTAATGGTTACAACTTTATCATGGAGCTAATTGTTCTTGTCAGTCCATAGGATGTATTTACCACTGTCAAGTGATCCCGAGAAGCCCCCATGGCTGGCACTGTTACAGCATGGTCTCTGGTCTGTTTATCTGTGTATTTGGAAGCTCTGCCGTGACAGACA